TATAATATACCAAGCCAAATCAACCCAATATATCAAATCTGAGGGGTCAGGAATTGTTTAATTGACAGTTGGGAATAGCTTCAATTGTTTGGTATATTTGTTAGTAGGTTTGATAGATTGGCTTTGGCGGCAGCGCTGCTGCAGAGTGACACCTTAGTCCCAAATCGGCTCGTGTTACGTCGTGGAAAGCTTTGTGCTCCCGGCGGAACTTCCGAATGAGAAGATCGTTCCAAGTTATAGGGGACGTGCAAAATGCGAGCCCGATATTCCGCGGGTTTGTGGGAAGTTTTCGGCTAGCGGCTCGATACAATACCACCAGATCAGTAAGGAAACCCACCTGTCCTGCCGTCATCCCGGGCAGGTTGTGAGGGCCTGAGCGAGTGGCCTGTAAAACTGGGGAGCCCCCAGCCATCTACAGCATGAGTACCCGGAATACTTCTGCGGAAGCGTGTTTGAAGGCCAGATCATGTAAGAAATGTTCCGCATTTTGGATGATGAGGGTGCTTCTACGATAGATCATGTCATTAGTAGATTCTTCCAGCATTGTGATGAGCCGAGATGCATTGGATGCGCGAACATGAGTGTCATGAAGTGGCTGGCAACAAAGCACAACACAAATTCATAAACCTCCCGGGCCGCGGGTATGGAAGCTTTAGCCGCATCTTCAATGGGTCTTGCTTGCAGCACAAGTAACGAATCCCTCTCGATGCAGACTGAACAACGTGGATCCCACATGCAGACTAAATCTGATCTATCCGCTATGCCGGCCCCTGGACAATCTGACGGAACTTTCTTCAACGTTCTCGTAGCCCGTGCCCGGGTTCTAACCAGTCTGTGCTATCACAATAGTAATAGTGTCTATGTCTCGTAGTGGTACTCTGAATGCCTTCGGTGATAGGCTGCTGAGAGTCGGTCTCTTTCACCGCAAATCGGCTAACTTGAAGACCCTGCATCGACAGCTTGCGCCTTGGCCGGCGCCTTTATCTGCGGAGCCGAGATATCAGTTTCTCGGATCTGGGGGAGTAGGGCCAGCTGCAAGATGCGGCGTAACAGGCGCATGAGATGGGCTGGATACTCCAATCGTATCTCTTCTTCAACGGTGATAATTAACAGCGCATGCTGCTGGCGCCCTACGTGGCTGTGGCCAAGAAAGCTTGTTGCTTGCTCGAGTCATCGTTGGAATAAAAGATGATTGGTTTCGTTGATATGGTGTGAATGCGAACTTATTGAGACCGCGAGGATCTTCAACTTGTGTGGGTTGTATTTAGTTGAAACCAATCGCGAGAACGGCCATGTCATTTTTGAGTTGAAGTCGGGGACCTCGGACTAAAAGTGGCAATGGCATTGGACACTTCAGTCTTTGGAACCAACGGCTTCAAAGTGTAATGGCGCTACGATGAGGGGGATTTGCTTGTGTGTGAGTGTGAAAATAGCGATTTTTGCCCCGGTTTCCCAGAGCATGTCGGCCATCTCAAATCTTCATAATCATCGCGGGTGTGCATAGAAGCCGGGAACTCTGTTATGACGGGGCAAGTTGACTAGCAGCCCCGAAATTGCGTCCGACAGGGGTTTTACGACTGTAGCGCCTAGTCATGATCGACACGCTTCCGGGATTACGATTGCACACTTTCCTATGGAGTACCAGCTATTCGGCGAAAGTTAGCCAAAAACTGACAACCAACTGACAAATCATTTGTTTAGTTCAATCTCGGTATCGCTTTCATAGTCTAAAAACTCAACTCTCTCGTACGCATAAAGAGCCGTTAGGGGAAGGCCAGTGAGGGGAAATCTCCGCAGATGTGAAGGCCGTAGTTTAACCTACTCGAGTTTAAATACAAAGCCCCTGTCTCGGACGTGTGTCCGTGCGCTCCGCGCTTCCCACGGAGACCACGGAGCTGAAAAACAAAAAGGCTCGCGAGGGACCGGCAAAACGGACACAGCACCGGGCCATACGTAATTCAGAACACGCGCAGAAGCCAAGTACAGTGTGCGAGAGGAGGAGACCGTCCGACCCTGTCGATTTCTCTCGGCTACGCTACCACCATGGAGTCGGAGCACACGCCAAAGACCAGTGTTATTCCGAGAGCGGTAAGTTCCGCCTAACGGGATCGTCGCCCAACGCCGCTTACCAGCTGATACGGCGATACTAACACGCAATGATTGCTAACCACCAAAATGTTGTCGTCGTTGATAGTGCCATAATTGCCGGATCCGCAAGGTAATCAGAGACATTCTATTTATCACCTTTGCCCATCTTCGGACTTGCAGCCCGCGGGACGCGCTCATCGAACGAACCCCCTTTTTCTCGCTTATCCCTTTCGAATGATTGCTGCGTCTTAACTCCGTTCAAGCTGACACTACGCAGACGCGATGCAATCGAGAAGTCCCTTGCTCAAACTGCGTGACGTCCAAAATTCCATGTCGTCCGGCTGGAAGGCAAGCAAGCCAGCGAGCTTCCGCGGACAGACCTGCTGAGAGGTAACCGGAGATATGCTCGCGGAAATACGGTTCAAATGCTGACGCGATGATAGTCACCCTAGCATTCAGCAACTTCACGAAAGGTTGAGAGCCGTCGAAGACGCCCTCCGAAACCAGACAGAAAATCACGCAAACAGACACACCCCAAATTCTACTCCAAATACGACGCCTAATGTCGAAGATGACTCCTCAACGCATCATTGTTTGTGGGAAGATCAGCCGGTGTCTTTCGAAGGCGACTCATCTTTCAGGCAACAAACGTACTTGGCGAGCCAGATAGAGGAGTTGAAAGTCGAAGCCGCTCAGTCACCAATTGTAGTCGACGAGCTGGAGACGTTACGAGGAATTTGCCAGAGCCATGAGCGAACGGAGCCGAAACAGCTGCGAAGACTACCCCATGTGGGAAAAGGCTCGCAGCTGCAACTTCCACCTTCAGATCTGGTGATCCGATTGCTCCGGACTGTGAGTGGTAAGCATCGATATCTTCCGTTCTCACCCTTACCATCGTTCATGAAAATGAGCATAGACTAATCTGTGCATGACTCAGAACAATCAATACTGTTCCTGTTCTACGCAGTTGAGAACCGGGTGCAAGTCGAAGACCTATGCCGCAGAGTCTACTTCTCCGTGGACCCGGTGACCATCGGCCAGGTCACTCTTCTAAATGGGTTCTTGTCAGTCCTCTTGCGCGACATCGATTTCGAGAAACTTCCGGAATTCGATCCCCAGGAAACAAGCCGTGTGTACAACTTGTGCCATGCAAACTTCAAGTCCGGCATCGAGACCTACGAGGTCATGGCGGTGCCGACATTCGAACATACTCTAATACTTTCCATAGCGGTAAGTCTCGATTGATGCTTGCAGATGGTCCTGATTACTTTTGGGGCTAACAAAATCTTTTGTAGTCGTTACGAGCACAACAAGACGGAAACCTTGCATTGCAATGGACAGTAATGTCAGCAGCCGCAAGACACTGTCTCGCCCTGGGCTACAATCGGAAAGCAAGATTAGCGACGTTGTCGAGAGAAGAGGCTCGCAGAGCGCGACGCCTGTTCTGGCACGTCTATTTCGCAGACCGCGGTCTGACTCTGACCCAAGGGAAAGCCGCAATCATCCAAGACTTTGACATCGACGTGGAACCTTTCGAGATCTCCAATAAACCCGAGCGACGCCCATGGGACACCTCCTTTTCTGCATTTATCGAATTCGGACGGATACAATCCAAGATCTACGAGCACCTCTATTCCCCAGCGGCTTCGAGGACGAGCGACGAGGAACGCAGTGCTTCGGTAGCACATCTCACGAAGCGACTGTCGGCGTGGTACGACTCGTGGCGAAGCGTGGACTATACGCATGCTTATCGCAAAGAACTATTTCAATTCACCTTTGACGGGCTCGATGTGGTTTACTACTCCATTCTAACACTAGTTCATCGCGGAGCCAACTCATCGAACTCCGCGAGCTCCATAACTGAGGAGTGCTTCGACGCGGCAAGAAAGGGACTCACGGCGCATGCGACCGCCTTCCCTCGGTCCGCGTCTGGGGGTTACGCCGCGTTGTTCAGTTACGCAGTCTGGTAAGTCTACTCTACGGCATCTATCGACGCAGAATCCCGGCTGACTCCAATTCTCCCAGGACACATCTCTACTCCTCCTTTACTCCCTACATAATCACATTCCTCCACTGCATCAGACACTCCGACGTCGAAGACCTTAACCTGCTCCGAAGCACCTTGGAAATCAGCGAGCGACTCAGCGGGTTGGTCGAGTCATGCAAGCGGCAGTACGAGCTGTGCAGGTCTCTGTACCGCATCGCGGAGGCATACATCAAGTCGAAGAAAGGCATCGCCTTCGTGGACGGAGCGCTTGAGAACACTATCCACCTGCCGCTGCAGCAGCCTGCCATGGAGAACTGGCCGACCTTTGACTCGCAGTTGGAGCCGAACGCTTTCCCGGATCTACACGTGGACGAGTGGAATAGTACGTACATGGGGCAGATGTCGTTTACCTTGGACAATCAGCTGGGCAAGGGTAATACTTAGTCAAACTGAGAGTTTATTCACCCGCACCCCAGTCTCTCGGGCAGCAAATATTACATGATACCACCAATCTACTACACATTGAAACTTTGGTGTTGTTGCATGCGCCGGCCATTCCTTTACTGTGGGTCTCCTTGGTCAACCCGCCCGACGAATCATGGCCAACTTCAAAGACCTGATACATGCCAAGTTCATGAAAGCTGCATCGATGTACAGTCTTGAGGAAGCAACTCGTGCGTTACTCATTGGAATGAACCATTCCCACGGAGTCCGCGGCGTCAATGTGCAAGCGGACATTTAGGCCGCTGTAGTTGGGTTTTTACGGAATCCATACTCCGACTCTAGAGTCTAGGCAAAGCTACGGGACTGTCACCGATACGTCGAGAAAGAGACTACAGACAAGACGTAAACTAAGGGTTAAATGAAACAAGAGACTAAACTAGCAATCGTAAGGTCCACGATCGACAAGTTGAGTCATGGCGACGGGCTCACATTGGCGTCAGAACGTCCATGATGGACCGCATCAAACATATCACAAACTCAGCAGCATAGATAAAATAGACTTTAATTTTTCTCATGAGCCTTGTTTACTCGCGTGAACGATGCTGAGATATAATTTCACTAATAGCATTCCTGACGTCGTTCCGCCGATACCCTCCTAAAGCTATCACATCTGCAGGGTCGGGCTCATACGTGACAACCCTGTCCCCGGCATAGAGTGTCGCCCGAGGCATCAGCGGGTGGTCCTGGTCCAAAACAGGCAGTTTCTCCGGGTTTCTAACGGCGTGAAAGAACATCTCAAGGTACTCTGCGTATGCCAGGTTCTCGTCGCCAACCAAGATAGATCTCCCGGACACTGTTCCGCTGTTCTCGATGGCTCCGGCGATCGCTTCAGAGAGAGACTGCGTCGAGATGAAGTTGAGCCCCCCGGCGGGCGCAAAAGACGGAATGGGGAGTTTTCCCTCCGCGTACTGTATGTAGGCCTCGAACATCGGTATATTCATGCCAGGGACCGTGCCGACGACGATCGGAGGATCTAGGCTGCAGGGGTGGAAGGTAGGTGTGGCGAGTGCAGCCACCACGTCGGCCGCTAGCTTGCGGGAGCGGACGTAGGGGCTCGAGTGAACCGCTTCGGGCACGATGTGAGGGTACGCGCTCCCCACGTGCACGAATATCCTGACACCTGCCTCCCGAGCCATGCGGGCGAACGCCGGTACAGCCTCCCCGTTGGCTTGCAGGTAGTGTTCGTCGGCCCCCTGACCCTCCGGTACATGCCTGACGTCGCTCCCGGCCGCGAACACCACGGCTTCGAAAAGGGCAAGCTGTTCCGCTGTAATGTCACCGCGGAGGTAGTTTCCTTGGAGGAATGGGAGCTTGACGAGGGCGGAAACTTCCGTGGGTGCTCGACGGCCGCTGATGGTGACCTGGTGACCTTTGGAACGGAGGTGAAGGGCGGCGTGGCCGCCGATCATGCCGGTTCCTCCCACGACAAGGATCTTCATGTTTCTTACTCGGCAGGTGTTGGCGAGCTTGTTGGTGTGGGATGAGAACGGGTGACGTACAGTTCGTACAATAATGGTGGTCCACCAGCTGGCGTCGCGAGAATCCAAATTGGCTCCTAGAGTCGCTTTTAAGTCTTTTTGCTTTTATCACTGCCAGAATGTCGGCGGACTTTCGCATTTCTGATTTATAATTGAGCATGGAGTTCATGAAGATTTGCTCTCACAGTACAAGACAGGACGAGGATTCGCCGCGGAACACACGGAATACGTGGCGAATCTGACGCTAACGCGCTGCTGTTGGTCATCGAACCCCAACATTGACGGAACCCCTCTTGTCGGAGAGGAGGTCAAACTTCACATGTCCGCCAAAACGAGTGCGGAGTTTTGTTGACGCTCCAGTCTCAGCAATTCTTCAATTTTATGACTTTGGATAGCTTTCATTGAGTCTGAGCAACGGTGTTGAACGAATATGATCATCAACTCGGAAGGCAGATTTAACTGGGAATAGTCCGACTAACAAGTGAAATTCGAGTTAACCATCTCATTCAAAGGCAGTTGTCAGTTGATAGAAGTCACGTATCCGAAATGCCGGCCTCACAGCAGCCTCCGAAGACTGAGCTCCGGTCGGGAAAAGTGGGGATCCGGCTCCGTCCCGAGAAAACTGCTTGACTGCCGAGAATCTCCGTCCAGCAAGTCATGCCTCCCTGTGTAAATCATCACCGATCCCCAATGGGAATTATAAGCCCATATGTCTTGAGCTTCTCTATGCTTGCCCATCCGGCTGTGCCTTGGCCTCCATTTGGGCTCTTAGAGATGAACAGTCAAGGAATCACCTTCAAGTCGCCCTCATACGGCGTACTTTTCCAGCAGTCGTTGAAGGATCAATGCTGTGATCTTTGTAGACTTTCTCACGTGAAAACGAGACCTGGTGAGGGTTGAAAGCCATAGCTCAGCTAGTAAAGAGACAGACCGTCCAAACGAAGCACTCACACCGGATCAAATCCGTCGGCCAGCGAAGCAACATCGCCTTCGTCCTTGTCATCCCGCTCCCGAATTGGAAACAAATAAAAGTCATTTCAAAATCTTAAGCTCGTTACATGGTGCTTCTTCTAGTGTATTGCAGTATATACGGCTCCGGGCCCCCAAAACCGCTGGCGGCCGCTTCAACCCGTGCCACGAGCTCTGAGATGGAAACGTCCGCATATAACCATTAGAACGGTTCCTATTTGCGCGTGATCCGCGGCTTGCATGAAGACGTTCGATGTCGGGCCATCTTCATAGTCCGTGTTTGTCGGTAGCTGCTAAGGCTTTCTTTAAAAGTCTCCGATGGGGAGCTCGTGGCTGATAACTCGCTCTCAAAGCAGCTGTAGATTATTCAAGTAAAAACTTCGGGACCCAGCAGAAAGTCGGGTCCTGGGGCTTTTCAACAGACACCTTCAGATATCCAGCAGAGTATACAGCTTGCGCCGGGGAGGTTGGTGAAGGGAGTGGAAAAGAGTCTTGCGGATGGTGGTGATGACTAGCGAAGTACCGCTGTGGATGGTATGCCGGAGATATCCCAAATACATGTTACGTCCTAGCAAACCAGCTCTGATGATAACAGTATCCATTGGCACTGCAAATTCGCTGAAGCCGAATAAATAACGTTGAGACCTTCATGTCACAACAATTCGGACCTTTCAACAACTAGTGCATGGTCGACGAACTAGTAATTGGAACCAGAGCTTCGGCATCGATGTCGAAGTACGCCGTTGGATAGTGGCTGCTCTACGTAGCCAATGCCTCGTCAGCTCGGAGACCGCCCGGGCTAATGGGCGAGATGCGTGAAGTCGGGCGTAGGATTCGGCCGGCAGATCAGATTTGTTCTCGCCATTCGGCCCTTGCAAGGATGCAGGGCCGATCCAATCTGAACAGCAGCTGAGCGCGGATACCCGCAAAGTCAAGCATCCAGACAAGGATGGGGGAAGGATAAGCGCCAACAGCCACCACTCCCCGCGTTGGCAAAAGGCGGATATGTGGCAGACCTGTCGCCTTTTAGGCTAAATGCTATTGCCGGCGGTGATCGTGCTTGAAACATGGGGTTTTGGGCCACACGGGGTAGTCGTATTCCTTTGGGGAATTTTCGCTAACCTGGGCGAACGAGCTCGCATGAGTATTGTCCAATGGGCAGCCTGAGGTCTCTTTAGCATGTAGGGCAAAATGGTTCACGTTGGGATGCCGATGCCTGTCACCGCAGCGTTGGGTCAGAGTCGCACCGAATGTGACAGGGTCTTCACGAAAACGTACCATGAGGGCACAAGATCTTCAGATGCTTCTGTGGCCTGGTAATTTGCAGCTGATTCCTGCATGGACGTCGCATTTAAGTACGCGTCTTCCCCATCAATACTCAAGCTAAGCTTTTGGTCCACTTCTCTACCTTCTGCCTGTCGCGTCTTTGGCCTTGACTGGGACTCCCCAACTTCCGATTACAGCTTTAATCCTACCATCGTCAGGCTCGCCTGTCGAAGACTGACACTATGGGCGGCCATTCTTCGGGCAACGCTGCCTACGATGCGGCTCTACAAAGAAGACAAGCGCTGATGGGCGCCAGTGGTGCCAGGGCGCTCGTGAAAAACTGGAAAGTCGCTCGCATTGCAGCCTTCGCCTGCATTGGAGGTGTTCTCTACGGCTACAATCAGGGAATGTTCTCTGGAATTCTAGCAATGCCATCATTCGATAAGCGTGAGTCAATTGACCCAATGAAACGGAGATCTCGAACTGACAATCGTGGCGCCTGGTAGACATGGGCGGATACACGAGAAACCCTACCCAGAAGGGATGGCTGACATCGATCCTTGAGCTTGGAGCTTGGGTTGGCGCAGTGCTTTCGGGCTTCATAGCCGAAGTGTGCTCACGAAAATACGGCGTCCTGATTGCAACCGGAGTCTTCATCCTCGGTGTCATTGTCCAGATAACATCCATCTCGGGAGGTCACGAATCCATTCTTGGAGGTCGTTTCATCACGTATGTGTTTCACTGCAGAAACCTAAATGACTATCAATACTGACTTGACAAAGTGGAATGGGCGTGGGCAGCTTGTCTATGATCGTGCCTCTGTACAACTCGGAGTGCGCACCGCCAGAGGTTCGAGGTGCCCTCGTAGCTCTTCAACAACTGGCAATCACCTTTGGTATCATGATATCCTTCTGGATCGAGTAAGTATTCCGAAGGGTCTTCATGACGTGTGTACTGAGCGTTATCTAGTTATGGTTGCAACTACATAGGCGGCACGACAGTCGAGACACAATCCGATGCAGCTTGGCTAGTGCCCATTTGCTTACAACTAGGCCCGGCCGCCATTCTTTTGGTAGGAATGATTTGGATGCCATTCTCCCCTCGTTGGCTTATCCACCACGGCCGCGAGGAGGAAGCGCGTCGGATTCTTGCCAACCTCCGAGACCTTCCCGAGAATCATGAACTTATTGAGCTCGAGTTCCTTGAAATCAAGGCCCAGTCTCTGTTTGAGAAGCGCAGTGTTGCGGAGCAGTTTCCTCATTTACAGCAGCAAACGGCCTGGAATACCTTCAAGCTTCAATTTGTTGCCATGAAAGCTCTGTTTACGACAAAGGCCATGTTCAAACGTGTCATTGTTGCCACTGTCACCATGTTCTTCCAACAATGGACGGGAATCAATGCCGTGAGTATGCGCCTTTCGAAAATTAGTGACGATGGCCATCGCTAAGAACCACTCCAGGTACTTTACTATGCTCCACAGATCTTCAGCCAGCTGGGCCTCAGCCAAAACACCACGAGTCTGCTTGCCACTGGCGTAGTTGGCGTGGTGATGGTGAGTCTTCGCTACCCGCTTGCTGCTTTGATAGCCCCAAACTCCTGACACCTAAGTCTAGTTTATCGCTACCATTCCGGCCGTCTTGTGGATTGACAGGGTGGGCCGAAAGCCGGTTCTTAGTATTGGAGCAATTGGCATGGGCACCTGCCACATCATCATCGCCGTCATCTTGGCTAAGAACATTGACCGCTTCCACGAGCAGCCTGCAGCTGGCTGGGCTGCTGTCTGCATGGTCTGGCTTTTCGTAGTTCATTTTGGATGTAGGTCACCAATATCTAACCCGGAATCTGTAAGGAGACTGACATCTAAACAGATTCGTGGGGTCCCTGCGCTTGGATCATTATCGCTGAAGTTTGGCCCCTGAGCACTCGACCATATGGAGTGTCCATTGGAGCTTCCAGCAACTGGATGTGAGTTGGATGACATTGTCCAGTCGTGTTCAAGCTAACCAGCACCTTCTAGGAACAACTTTATCGTGGGCCAAGTCACTCCCGATATGCTCGTTGGTATTACGTATGGCACGTACATCTTATTTGGGCTGTTGACCTATTTGGGAGCTGCCTTCATTTGGTTCTTTGTCCCAGAGACCAAGCGACTATCACTGGAAGAGATGGTTCGTCTTTCTTCGATTACATTCATAAGTAGTTGAACTACCGGCTGACACTTGCGCAGGACCTTGTCTTCGGCTCCGAGGGCACCGCTCAAGCCGACTTCGAGCGTATGGAGGAGATCAACATCGAGATTGGGCTCACTGCCGCGCTGAACCGTGGATCTCCGACCGGCGGATTCTCGCATTCCGGCGACTTGGAGAAGGAGAAGCTGGGTACTGCAGCAGTCTAAAGCCGTTAGGATTCATATCTGCGAATGGTTCAAACTTCTGCGTCTACCAGGAAGGCGTTGGCGCATCTCATTGCCACATCGTGTTTGAGTGAGAGGCACGCCATATTTCCAAGTAATAATGGTAGAATTAGGCAGCAAACCATAGGCAGCAGGACGCCACAATTGATCTAATCATGCGCTTGTAACGATGCGTTACCCCGCTTCTCAACATATCGTGCTGACCACTCGTTTATCGTAATATCATGGAATCAATCTGCAGAATACATGGCGCGAAACCCGAATAGGAAGCAACTTGTTTCATCAACAAAAAGACGTCCCAAGCCGTCTTTAATTTACTTTTCAAAGTGCGGTACTCAACGGAGTCTTCGAAGTAATTCACAGCTTTTAGACAGCAGGTTGCATATTCACAGAAAAGGCTACTCGTGTCACCACAGGCGCGGAACGTTTCATGTGCTTCACAACCTGCGGGGGATAAAATGCCACTATATGTAGTTTTGTGGCTTTCTGCGGAGGTTCACAGTAATCATTCAGAACTTACCCAGGCTTTCGAAAGTGAAAAAGTCAGCCCCATGGTCTGCCTAAAATATCTGACGTGTTTCTCATGCATAGTCCTCACTAGTGTGTGCATTTTCACATTCATGCCTGGACTTGGTTTCGCATTTGACTTTTGATTGGACGCAACGCAATCGCTTTCCAGGTTCTGCTTTTCTGTTGTACGTCTACAAGGCCAAGACCACGACAGCATTAGGGCTTACATGCAGCACAACATGTATCAGCCCCGAAACATGAAGGGGGACGAAGGCGATTGTACAGCCACAGCTAGTGGCTGCATGGTAAGGTGTGTTGTTGAGATTTAAAGGGACCGAATCTGCCCTTCACTTGTTTTCTGGGTTCTGTCCAGCTTCACATTTACGTCACTAGGCCACGCTAAAGACACAGGTATTCGAAGCGCCCAGTATGGCGTCTGATCTTGACATAGTGGAATCGACGAGACTTGAAGATGATCTTTCCTTCTCTGTCATCGATCGTCTGACCGAGACCATCAGGGCTGAGGAAGAGGTCAAGATCAGCCAAGAAGACCGCAACGCCATCGTCCAAGATCTCTACGAAGGCCCCAAGAAGTGCCAATGCTGCATCAACTGGATGACTGAATGTCCTCATGGTGTGGACTTGGCCGCCCTTGAGAAAGACGAAAGTGACGACGACGAGTCCAACCCGATTATCGTGAGACGCCGAGTCACTCCCGGGAAGGCAGGCAGTCTGGTCACGATCCACTCCATCGACATCCGCCACGCAGCGACTCGCAAAGTCCTCATTGATATCTTCAAGCCCTACGACGGCATCGTTCATGATCTCAAATACCTTGCCTTCCTGGCGCCTTTCCATCAGTTCTTCTGGCGCTGGGAGGCATTCGAGAAGGCTATCGCCGACGAGGAGGAAGAACAGGTTAAGAAGATCTTGACCATTCTGAGGTCCATCGTCAAGCGCGAGCTCGCAGGGGCCTTTGCCGTCAGCAAAGAGCTCATCAGTCACGGCATGATTACGTACGACTACCTCTGGACTCTCTTCGCTCCAGGCGAAGTCGTCTACTCGGATTGCCGCTTCGACGGTGACCGTTTCTTCGTTCTACAAGGACACACCAACAACACGGACCCGTCCAAAGTCGAACTTTGGCTCAACTACGTCAATTGCAGCGGCGACGATTTTGGTGTAGCTGTCCAGAGCGAGTACATTCCCCGGTTCAGAGGCACACGGCCCATCAACTCGCTGAGGCTTTACCCTGCAAAATACCACGATGAATTCCATGGTGTTCAGAAGCGATTGATCGAAAGGGGTCGCAAATTCGCCAGTCTCGTTGGGAAGCACTACAAGGCTTACCGCCCCGATCGACTCGATAGCCCGAGTGCAGAAATTCGAGTTATGATCGATACAGATTATGATAGACGCTCTGGTGGTGTCGGCGCTCCGTTTGGAGATCGGGACGATGCCTCAGTCTTCTACCAAAGGACACAGCTGATAATACAGGGGCCTGTTGATACACCACCACCGAAGGGCCATGTACCTCTTCGGCGCGAGCGCAGCGGAGACGAGAATGACTCTTAATACGACGGTGAACAGCGCATTCCACCTCCTCGAAGGCGCCCTGCCCCCTACGCACCACCTGTCTATCCAACGCCTCCGGCCGACCCGTATGCACCGCGTGGTTTCCGACACACGCCGCCTCAGTTTTCACCATCGTCATCGTTATCTTCAGATCCACTGTTTCCACCACGGCCAAATCTGCCAGAGGACTACACAGACGCGAGTCGTCCTCCTCTGACGCCCTGTAAGCTTCTAGGTTCTGTCGTCTGTGCATCCGTTGTTATTGACGAATATGCCCCAGTCGAAATAGAAAATCTCAGGATCAACAGGGCTCGAAAGCGACTCACTGACTTCCGACTGTCACTGTGCGTTCCTCGTGTACTGGGATTTAATCTCAAGGAGAAAACATGGGGTAAGTCCAAGCCAGATTCGATCCTATCTAATCGGCCAGCTTATTCGAGTGAATGCAGAAAACTTTGAAGTTGACCGAATCCATGATATCGAGTGGAACACGAAGCCATTTGAGAGTCTGGTACTTCCTGATGGATACAAGGAGCTCATTCTCGCCTTTGTGGAGAGCCAGGTCAAAGACAATGATAACTTTGACGATGTCATCAACGGCAAAGGTAAATTTGAACTCCCTCACGTGTATCTGGATGCTAATTTCCCAGGCGGTGGCCTCGTTGCTTTGCTCGCTGGTGCTCCTGGAGTTGGCAAAACTCTCACTGCTGAATCAGGTATGGTTTCTGAGCCTATACCAACCGCAACGTCTTACTAAGTAATATGTAACAGTCGCGGAAAAGATACAAGCTCCACTCTTCAAGATGGAACTGGGCGAATACAATGAGGACGATCCTGATCATTACGATACGCCGCCACACCGGGCTCGTCGGCCTGGTGGGAGAAGTGTAGCTATTGGGGTCCAGCACAGAAGAGGGGACATCGCCGGAGCATTCGAGCTTGCTGCACGATGGGGTGCTGTCCTCCTCATTGACGAGTGCGACGCTTACCTGGAGCAGCGCAGTGACAGCTCGTCTCAGCGTAACAAATTGGTCTCGCGTAAGTTGACCGAGATGCCCGTAACTACAAGGTTGTATCGTCTTTCTGACATACTATGCATAGGATTCCTGCGAGAGCTGGAGTACTACCCCTCACTCCTGTTCCTTACGACCAATCGCGAGAAGTCCTTGGACCCGGCTATTCATTCCCGTGTCCATCTCACAATCAACTATCCAGCTCTTGATGAGCCGTCCAGGAAAAAGGTCTGGATGACCTTCCTCGGGACGACCGGGTCTAACCTTTCTAACGAGAATCTTGCGGCTCTCTCTCGCATCGAGGTTGATGGCAGGAAAATACGCAACATTGTCAAGACCGCCGGTATCATGGCAAGAAGGGATGGACGCTCTGTCACATTTGATGACATCAGGAAGGTCATGAAGATTACGGAAGGCATCGAGGTTAAGGAATTTCGTTACTGAACGGCTTTAAACAGCGGTCGCTTGGCCCATTTCCTTGTCTTTGGTTTCCTTGTATTCATTCTCATGAATTCTGGCTACGGTAATTCCGCCACAAGACTCAAGGTTTGACATCGACGATGAAACGAGGTCTTATGGCAATATGCAATGGAGAGAATGTTTGTATACGGGAGAATGTCCAACTAAGTATGTACAGATAAAAGAAAACGGAGGCTTCAAGACCCCAATCGCAGCCTCACAAAAGAAACAGACTTTCGTGAAGTGATAACCATCTAGACTCAACTAGACCAGCAACTTTACTCACCCTAAGCGAAATGAGCATCGATGGTCTTCTTCATATCCTGAGCAATCAACTTGTGGCCAGCCGTGGTGGGCTGAATGAAGTTCATCCAGAAGTACTGGTTCGCATTGCCCTTGACCATACAGTCGTCCCACTGCGCGGTCTCATCACCGTCACAAAACAGGTTCAAGGGCTTGGGGAAGCCGTAGGCCTTCGAATTGTTCAGGATCTGCACCATGTAGCTGAAGACGTCGTAGTAGATGACCTTCTTCCCGAACTGACCCAGACTCTTCTGGATAGCGGCATTGGCCGAGGTGATGACTTGGCCCCAGGTCTTGACGCAGTCCGCGTTGGTACCGCAGAGGTACTTTGGCGTAACCGGCGCAAGATGCTTGGGGTATATGTTGGCGACCATGACGTACGGTGCACCCTTGTCGAGCAGGCCCTTGACTGAGGCTGTGATCTTCGCCGCGGCATCGGTTGCGAATTGCGCATTCTTGGCATCGCCGAGCCAGAAGGCGTCCGTGTGCATGCTGAGATCGTTTTCTCCGAACCATAAGAACTGGAGAGAGGAAGCAATGCCCTTTGAGCCGGTGCCAGTGTAGTTCGAGATTTGGCCGAGCATATCTGTTGCCCCGGCGGGCGACTTGGTGTAGGCGTTGTCGAACGTCGCGCCGAAAGAGCCACCGCCGCAGCAGCCGCCAAAGGCATAGTCGGTCATAGGGACCTTGAGGAGATCCGCGAGGTACGAGACGGCGACCGGGCCGTTGGTCCAGGTGCCGAAGCCATAAACGTTGGCTGGGTCTCCGGTGATGCCATGAGCGAAGCTGCCATTTCCATTGTCGGACAGCTCATCACCGTATGCGACGAGGTTGTTGAAAGGGTAAGCGGCACGAGGGGCCTTGATCGATCGCGCTGCGACGAAGGAGAGAAGGAAAAACGTGAAGCTGGTCTTGAACAGCATTTTGAAGCAAAGTTGAAAAAGAATGTGGTGAGTTGGAAATAGAACGAAAGAGAAGTTGAGGAGCTGGGAAGGCTTGGTCGAGGAATGTTCTGTCAGTTGTCTTGGCGGCAGCCTTTGGTTTATATCCGCCACGGTCTGCGCATGAATCACTCCTAAAATCCAATGTTGCGTTCTGAATCCTCCTGGATCGCCCAATTTCCCTGCTCATCTATTGTGCCAGTGGGCTGGATTCGTGGCGTCGCTGGCGCGGGATGAGGGCGTCGCACCAACGCCATGGAGTGCGCTATCCTGCCATGCGGACAAATGAAACATTGACTGGTAGCTACGCTGGTGTATCAGAACTCAAATGAGTTGCAGTGCTTTCTTTTGCGAATTCAAGCCTAATTTTGGTGCCTGAAATGGCCATGGATGCAAGCACGCGAAATCTGGGACGGCGTTGATCCTCACAGCAAGTAGTTGCATCAAACTGATGGGTTAGTAGGAAGGATTATGTGTCCCGGAAATACATCCAGACACAAGAAGGGAGGCGCAGATGAGTCATTCTTGACAGCAGTTGGTTAGATAAATGCATGACAATTTGAAATGGGCGTATGAAAGAGTGAATGAGTCAATGTTTCCTGCGCGTAACCCTCTTGTCACTGTTTGCAGGCGGTTGTCAGCATCCCCACAGGAGCTTGGAAACAAACAACTCAGGAAACAGGCCGACTGGCGCAATGGTAGCGCGTCAGACTTCTACTGGAATCAGTGATCTGAAGGCTGCGGGTTCGAGACCCGCGTTGGTCAATCAGGATCCTGAGTTGCGAGTGCCCGAGCATTATTTTTTCCTTGTTTTTTTGTGTGAAGATTTTTCATTTTGTGCGGGGCCCGGTGGACCGGCCGATCGGTGTGGAGATGCGGAGCGGGGATGGTGGGGTAAAGCTCTCGGGGTGACCCGGCCTTTTGTTGCTTTCGGTCTCTAGGGCCCGGGGAGTGGGAGCTCATGTTTTCCACGACGGCTTCCGCTTCTCCGTGAAGGCTGCGATACCCTCTCTCGAATCAGCGGCCCTGGCATGCAAGGCCATGACTCTCCCCGCCCAGCTCGCTGCATCCTCGTACCCATCACCACCTTTCCCGTCCTGCTCCTTGCCGTTGATGCCGAGCTGGGTCCAGAACGCCCATTTCCCCAAGGCCATCGGCTGACCTGCCGAGCCCGCCAATCGCTCCACCACCTCCGCGACACGCCCCTCGAACGCTGCAGCGGCCGTGTCAGTTGACTCTGCGTGCTCAGGCTCCGTGACCACGTCCACGGCATCCCGCATCACGTCGGCAGTGACCGCCTCAGCCGTCAGAAGCATGCGGTAGGTCTGCGCCGGTGGGATGCGGCGCGACACGGCCGTGGCGGGGCTCGTGCACGGCAGCCCGATGCTTGCGCCGGGCAGTTGAAACCTGGTCGTGGACAGGGCGATTGGGTAGTCCGTGGAGAGGGCGAGCTGGAGTCCCGCTGCGATTGCCAAGCCTTGGATCGGGCAGACAACCGGCGCAGGGCTGTGGCGGATGAGAGACATGACTTCGGCGCAAAGGGCGAAGGTGCCCTTGACCTCGGCGTGGGAGAGCGATGCGAGTTGCTTGAGGTCGTGGCCGGAGGAGAAGACCGGGCCTGAGCTGCGCAGCACGAGGACGTTGGGCAGGGCTGCGCGTTCTTCTGCCCACGCGTTGGCATCAACGAGCCAGCTGTGTTCTGAAGTTTCTGTTGAGTCCGGAGCTGCGCGTTCGCTGACTCTTTCCAGCTCGTGGAGGATACCTGGCTTGAATAGGGGCAGGGTCATGAGACGCCCTGATTTTGGTGAAGTTAGGTTCGTCAGTAGCTGCGATCGGAGGTCCTCGAGGACCTCGAGGCTCAGGGCATTGCGTCGAGACGGATTGTTAAGATGGATGTGCGCGGCTCTCGCCGGGAGCTTTGGAAAACGCATGCTATCGATGGTGCTGTCGTCTCTTCTCGATGAGATTGAGATGCTCAGCAGAGGTCACTGATCGCGAGGGGTCCCCCTGGAATGAATGAGGGTGGCGCCTGTCTTATTACCCCGCAACGGCACGGGACCGAGGAAGCTGGCGGCCGAGAGAGAGCAATACCTGGTCACCTTAGAGAGGCGCCGTCATTATTCCGGGACCGATCACCATTACAAAACGCAAATACCTTTTGAATGGGGAAACAGAGGCAAAATTGAGGAATTCGGCAGGGACTTCCACATTGATTCGCCTCGTTGTCGCCAGCTCCATGTCTCAAAGTCTGTTCAGTGAGGGGCATGCTGAGGGCCTGAGCCCGCCCAGCCTCAGCGGTGATGCTTTTGTCACATCAACCCCAACGTTCGTAGCCACAGATCTTGATTGGAGTAAGTACATATGTAACTTTCGATTGACTACATTCTTAATGGTAGCGATACTACATTCATAGGCAAGAAGCCGAATTGCTAGCGTTTCGCTTTCGATCGGCCCAGTGTTGTGTTACAAACGTCTGTCAACTCGTGGTGCTGGCGATGCCGTTATGCACTAAACAGCCAACTGTACGCTGAAGTTGAGCATTGCTCGATCGCCACGTAACCTCACCTCGCATCCCTATGTACCTAGATACTCATCAAGGCCAGACGGTGCGTCTTTGAGATTGAACCCGATAAAGGTACGCTGAATCTTTTGAACCTTCTGGATGAGTTCCATGATATTTTCTGTCAAGGATATGCGTAAGTAGGAGATGGTTTCGTCGAAACCATCTAGCATAACCGTGGAGTATCTTCAACCAGAGACAAGGGTGCCTACTAGACTCATTTAGGGCAATTTGAGAAAGGCGTCTTGTTTTTAGTGCATCGATTCTTTAGTTACGTGCCTAAGAGGCACCATTAGCCTCGATTGCTGGTGTGAATCACACCATCTACGTATGCTTCCATCGGTCCATGAATTGAAACTAAAGGTTTTACAAGCATCTATGCTTGTAACATACACGAAGCTCTCAACCCGTCGTGAGTATGGGTAAGGTAGACTATGCTACACCGGCTTATTTGATAATGGGTAGGAAAAGGCGGTTGACCCTGAGGACCCTAGCACGTGTTTGACTGGCCGACTTGATAGGCATACCCCCAACAGCTTTCAGTTCACAAAATGAGGATTAGAGACAGATTAATAGTACGTTGAGCGATACATCTACCATTTTACTGATTCCTCATAGAGAGCCTTGACTATGCTGTGAGTCATACGGGACATGGTGTTCGTTTGGTTTCATCACGTCCGAAGGCAATGGTAGGAAATCCCAAATCCCCCGTACCAAATCGGCCCGGGTGACCATCCTTCGTGGTCAAGGGCTACCACGGGAGATGCCGTTCTTGGCTCACAACAAGCTACATGAAATGTTCCACAGTCGCAAAGACTCCACTATGTCGAGGCTTTGGTCAATGCTTCCTGGGCGATCTAACGAAGGGTGCCTTGACGTCCTTTAGACCCCTAATTCACGACTCATTCCCCTTGTCGCCGACACGGGGAGACTCGATCTCAGAGGAACTGCCCAAGACGATGTGATCTTTGATGAGCAAAAAAGACGCATGACATGACCATATTCAAGTTATCCGAGATGCAAAACAATACCCCGTGCAAGCTTTCGCTGATCCCCTCTTGCTTCTGTCACCTGTACATAGAGTTATTCATAGGGTGCAGCGTGATTAGACGCTCTCGAAACCAGAACAGACCCAGGAACTAAGGATTCCCACCTCTCGTGGAGACCTTCCTAGTTGATCAAGGACGAGGGTGTACCACGACGACGGGCGGGACGCTTGGACTGGCCAAGGGCGACTCATACGACGCTTAATACGACGTAAAGCTCGACCTGTACCGCGCCGATTCTGCCTTATCGTACGATCCGCCACGTTGCCTCTCATAAGTGTTCGGATCGGCCAGATCTCGCTGAGATCCTTGTTATCTCTGGTTCACGGCCTACCCCTGATTCAACTCCGAAACAACTATTATAGGGGGTTCGATCTAGTCGGCACAATTACAAAAATCAGAGAGAACTTTAACGCCTTTCTGGGTGTTTTGACATCTGGATAATAACGATGCGAAGACTTTGAATCGAAGCAATTACATCTTGGTACCCAACGAATCTCGCGTGTTCTAATATTGAAGAAACCACAACCCCTTGAGTTCAACGAACGTAGAGAAATAGTTACTTTTTTTCCAGATTGATGAAGAATTTATATATTTGGTGACGGAAGCTTCAATCGATGACCTCGCTGGCTCAATGCTAATGCTTGCGCTTGGCCTCACGTTCTGCAGCTTGGCGATGCTATGTACATTTGGATGCCGCTTGCGGCAGGTCTTCCGTTGCCGTCCCTCCTGTGTACAGAGGCCACCCGTCTACCCCCAGTCAGTAGGCCTCCTCACCGTGTGCCAAAATCTGTTTTCTTCAGGTAGTAACATGCCCCTCAACTATCTTTCAGCTCTGGCGTCAAGTCTGGCATGGGCTGAGCCTCAACGTTGGGTGTCTCCTTCGCGATTTTCTTCGGACTTGTGTTGGTCCATTGAATTAGAAATGCCGTGATGAGAACTTGGTTGATGTTAGTGATTTTGAGTTTTTGGAAGTCTAAGACTTCGTGACGTTTCAACTTACTGTCGGTGTTGCAACATGCAAGACACAGCCATACCACTTCCCCGCCAAGTGCGACCAGCACCGATAGGTTCCTGCAAGACCAGTGAGTAGTTTGCGAGAGGTATATTCGAGAGCAGTCTTACGTCAAGCTGACGGTCAAGGTGAGCAGAGCGCCAAGGAAAGTGCGCAGGGCTAGCCTGCGAAGCCGGACGTTCGGTGGGGTCCGGGGATGCCTGTGGTTTGAGCCCATCGTCCATGGCCTCAGTATTGATGCTTGGATAGAATGCAACTCTGATTGCGTAAGCTTTGGAAGTATTGAAGCGGGGGTCTGCCGGGCAGCAACTTACTGAGTAATGGGATCAGGAAGAGGGAGGTGAGGTAAATCTGCGGGGCGTACATAAGCTTGGTGTTGGGCGGGGCCAAGGGCAGAAAAGCTTCATACGTTGACGAGAGCATCAAAAACGATGATGGGTATCAAGATTGCTCGCTCGAGGCCGATGACGCATGTGTCGCTTGCTGAATCATAATATGACGCGCGGCTGGAAAGGGTGTGAGTACTGAAGATGAATCTGTTTTGGCGTTGGGGTGCTGGTACTTACAAGTGAAAATTGAACATCGTAATGAAGCCGTATGTACCTGTTCGTCAAATACATTTAGGTGATTGAATTTATGAAATCTCAAGAGTCAAAACCATACCTAGCATGAGAATAGTGTTGCATGTGTACAGCTTAGATCTGTGGCGTGCCTTGGTCGCTCCCCGGATGATATGCTGAGCAAGAATGAGCAAGTAGTAAAGAGGTGGAGGAAAGAGCTGACAACGTACCGCTTTCTCAACAGTAAAGAGATAAACAAGCTAGGGGGACTCGATTGTCAATATTTGGGTACACTGGCCTTGAATCATGTCACTCACTGCCTGAATAGTTATTAGATGACACTTCATAAGAGGTAGCAGATGGACTCACTTTTGTTCCCACGTAAGCGCCTAGACACAGTGTTCCAGCCATGGAACAACCCATAGCGCTCATACTAATCCCCGCTTCAAATACAATCTGAACTGTCCAGGATGCAAACACAAAGAGAAATGCGGACAGATAAATTAGAAGAATTACTACAGGACTGTTAGCTTCGATGAACCCGGCCCTTTTTGTGCCGTCCAACTCACATTGTCTTGCCCATGGTAGAGGGCGCCAGTACTTGACAGCGAACCATTCTTGACCTACACCCAATAAATCAGATCGCAATCCTGTTTTCGCCGCAGAGGCACTGCTTACGCAACAGGTTCCCGAGAAAGGCGGTTAGGATTGTCGTGATAATCAGGCTGAGAACCTGCTCAAATTGAGCCTTCGTCGATTGCGTGTCCGCCGTACTACCATGTGCCGTAGCAGACGTTGGCAGCATCATATCTCAGAATATTCTCGGTGGGATCGGTGTCCAGGTCCACCAACATAGAAGTCACCCCAATTGTAGACTTCTGTCGAATCGGCTCCGGAGCTGGGTGATCAGTGGTCTGTCATGCTGATGAGAAGCAAACTCCTTTTCGACTGAAGAATATCAGCCCAGACGGACGGTATATGTAAGTGCATCTCGGCATGAGGAGCCGATAGAGGATCAGAAGCTTTCCATCCCCAGCTCTGCCCTGTGTGTTCCTCGGGGCCGCCCACAAGCCTATTCTAGACCACCAACCCTCTTGATATAAGCTTTTGCGCTAGGTCGCCCTACGACGCCCGTAACGACTCGGGATCCCGTTTGGTCTGCCTGGGGGGTGCCGAAAACGGCTCGTCTGGTTGAGAGTTCGGATGGGCACTCCACATTGGGCAGATCTCATTATCATCGTCCGGCTGGCACATTATCAGACGAGGCGTAATTGGCATTTTGACAGCTAGAATAATAGGGTCAAACCGCAAGAGTCGCTTTGCCGGCAGGCAGAGTGTTGCATTGCCGTAGCTTGCGAGCTGCCAATAAGAATTGGGCCGATGGGTGCGCAAGCTTCATAAGACATGCAGTATAGGTTGATGCTGATTATGCCAGCTACTTCCCACGGAGGCGGATCAGTCTCGGTGAAGACGGAGGTGCTGGCAATATTTCTGCCCTATATCCATTCTACAGCTGCTGATAATGAATCGTTAAGCTCAACACGTGTGAGGTGTCACAAATGACTCTGGAGTCGCAACACCAAGACTCGTCCTCGTGTGGTAGCCATTCTGTTTCGCCAATGCCCTCACGATGGTGGGAGTCCGCGTATCCACGCGATGATCGCGCTCTGATTTCCAGCGAGCTTTTGAGCGAATGCTTGCACACCCTTAAGCTCGTGCGCACGTCTCTTGAACTTTCCAGCCTTTCGGG